CATCTTGGTGCCCTGGGAAACATACCTTCCATTTGGCAAAGGCATTTTTAAATGTTTGATATTTTGTCAAAAGTATAGAAGTTAGTTGAAATATGTGAAAAGAACCTATAATCTTCATTGTATTTTTATTAAACAAGCCTCTCTATTAAAATTGTATACAATTTCCAACATGTCTACAATCTTGGAAAATTGTTAATAGTTCCCATAAAAGATTTATTTGGAATGTAAAGTAAATTTCTAATTCTTACTTTTAGTTAAGAGAGTTCATTGCTTATATTTGGTTATAAAAGTAAAACTGGCATATTCTCTTCCAAGACAAATCATAGAATATGGGCATGAATAAAGAAGAAAGTGGAATTCATCTATAACCCTGCCGCACACAGAGAGCCACTCTTCTTATTAGGCTTGTATGTTTTTTAACACACAAATATATTCCTTGACTATGAAGTGATTACATTAATGAAACTTCTCCAGAAAAAAAGAAATAATAGAATACAGATAGATATATAGATATAGTATATATATATAAACAATGGAATATTGTTGAGAAATATTTATTTTAAGGAATTGGCTAACATGATTGTGGTGGCTGGCAAGTCTGAAAATATGCAAGACATGTCCACAGGCTGGAGGCCCAGGGAAGAAATGGAATTTTAGTCTTGAGTCCAAAGGCAGTCTAGAAGCAGAATTAGAATTCCTTTTTGCTCTGTGTGTGTCTGTGCGCACATGCGGGGGTCTCAGCCTTTCTCTTAAGTTCTTCTACTGATGATGAGGCCTGTGCACATTATGGAGAGTATTCTGCTTTACGTAAAGTGCACCAATTTAAATGTCCATCACATCGAAAACAGATATGTATAGTAACATCTAGATTGCTGCCTGACCAAATAACTACGTACCATTGCCTAGCCAAGCTGATATATAAAATTAATCATGACAGTGAAATTATATATGCTGTATTTTTATGCAGTATGAAAGGGATTATATATACAGGCACGTACCTACACAACTCACACACATACTGTATGGTGTGTGTGCACGTGCCTGTGCGATGTTCCCTACTTTCCTTGTCTGCTTTATATGCAGCTTTTGCTTAATTTCCCTCCTCTTCTTCCTCTGCCCTCCTTTCCTCCTCTCATTTTCCCTCCGCTCCTTCCCTTCCATTCTCTTCCCAGCTCTTCCAGCCACTCAGGTAACTGATGATTCCCAGCACACTCTTCTAAAAGGCAGATTCAAACGTGCCAGATGCTCACCGTCATCTTCACCCGAACATTCTACAATCAGCGCAATTTTACCCCCTGAAACTGAATTCGTTATTCCTTCAAGTCTGTTCCTTTTTCTTTTTTTCTTGTCTCAATGAATGCAATTGGCACAGGTTATTTTATTATTATTATTTTTAAAAATATATCTTTATTGATTTCAGAGAGAGGAAGGGAGAGGGAGAGAGATGGAAACATCAATGATGAGAGAGTCATTGATCGGCTGCCTCCTGCACGCCCCCTGCTGGGAATCGAGCCCGAAACCCGGGCATGTGCCCTGACCGGGAATCGAACCCCGATCGCCTGGGTCCTAGGTCGACGCTCAACCACTGAGCCATGCCGCCCGGGCGCGCAGGTTATTTTTTATGTCCCCTTCTTCTCCCATATCTATTCACCATCCTGTTCCCAGCCAGTGGTCATCATGAACAGAATCCATTGACTCAATATCTCACAATCCAGCATCACCACTTGGCATTTCTTAAATGGTGCCTCTGCTTATAGGCACCAGCCTTTCAAAACTGTTTTCCACTTTGTCATTGTGAAAATGTATTTGATATGCAAATACAATATCTTCATTTCCTTCCTAAAAACCTTTCAAAGGATCCTTATTGCCTTCATGGTAAAATCAAAATCCCTTAGCCTGTTATCTGTAGTCTTTAGTGATCTGATCCCTACCTAACTCGCTTGTCTCATTTATAGACACTTTTCCTCTCATTCCTAAAATAACAAGGCAAAGAATAGTGATAATAAAGAATTGCCCAATGGGCAAGCATTAGTATTTTTAATAAAAAATTACAATAAGGAGGAATAAAATCAGAATGACAACCGTATATTTTCCCCTAATATTTGGTTCATGATTCCTTAATATTGTCTGAATTGCTAGTCTCCCATAGAAGAGTTTTGTCACAAAAAGTTTTATTTAATAAGAGTTGTTATACTCCAGGAAGTAGAAATGACATTATCATACCAAAGAGAAATGTTATAATTATAAAGATTTCTCTCTTGGCATCAGATATATTTCAGAGGTTTAAAGTACTCCATCCCACAAATCATCTTTGCACTTCTACTTAACGCATATTAAATTGCTTTGCTTAATTATAAATGCCCTATAATGCTAAATGAGATCCTTAAATGGCTTTAAGGATTGATAGAAACCATTAAAAATGAATGCATACTAGAAGTTGTGTTTCATTTCCTAGGAACTAATTCTAAATTAAAACATGGTTTAAATTTCTGGGAAGCTATACACATTGTTTAAAGTGTTGTTTATAGAATATGGAGAGATTATTATTTATAACCTTATTGATAAGTAGCATAAGCACCCTATAAGTGTGGTTTATAATGTGTGTAGTATATTATGCTCAAAAATCACTGAATTTTTAGTATTTTTTAATAAAAAAATAAATGTATTGGTTGACAGTCTATATACATTATTGTGGGTTAAATGAAGAGATTAACTGAAAAAAAATCTCAACAAGGCTGCCTTACCTTCTTAAAAAAGTTATCTCTTTTTGTTTTTTTATTTTTAAACAATTCCATTAACTTTTTGTAGCTTTCATATCTTACATTGCTGAGGATTAATCAGTGGTGGTTTATAATACTGATGTAGATTTTGTAAAACTCAGTTACATACTCTCAAGTGGTTTCAGTTGCTCTTTCCAAAAAAAACACCCTATAGCTTATCTTTAAGAATTATTAGCCACATTTTATAGATAAACATATATTTGAAAATGCAAAAACAGCCTCGAGTTTGGAAAGCCCTGTGTATGCTGGGAACTGTGCCGAGTGTCTGCATGGTGTAGAGCGTCTGATATCAACCACTTCGTGATCAGGAGAGCGAGACCTTGTAAGGGTTTTGACTTACCCAAAGGTCAATTCTTATTCTATTTCTGGAGCAAACAGCAATTAGATTTTCCTGATGATATCCATAATTAAGCTAACGGACATGTATTTTTAAAAAATATATCTTTATTGATTTCAGAGAGAGGAAGGGAGAGGGAGAGAGAGAGAAACATCAATGATGAGAGTCATTGATCAGCAGCCTCCTGCAGGCACCTGACTGGGGATCGAGCCCCCAACCCGGGCATGTGCCCTGACCGGGAATCGAACCTAGATCTCCTGGATCCTAAGTCAATGCTCAACATCTGAGCCAAGATGGCTGGGCCAGACAAATTTTTAAAACATAATTTTACTATGTTTAAAATAATTTGAAAGATGTATATGAAAGAGTAAAAGGTCCTACCATTCGCTGTCCCTCAGCCAGGTGTTTTCCAGGCCAGAAAGGGACTTTGCAGAGATGGACACATTCTATGTTTATCGTCTAGCATCTTTGGCAGTTGTGTTCTGTATCTAATAGTCTATGTAGAACAGTAAGCAGGACAAAAAATAAAGAAGTTCGTGGAGGAAATGACAGATACAGTTACTGCGCTGGATGGCACCCGATACAAGGCACGCCCCTGCTCCTGGGCGTGAGCCGGCTGCCGCCCCCGCCATGTCTCCCTTCCTTCCTGTGCGCATCGCCTGCGCTGTTCTCATAGCCCTCCACCTAGGACTCCCCGACACCCCTTTGGTTCCCGAAAATCCAGAAAAGACTGTTTTGTTCTGTATCACATAGTTGCTTCAACATTCTCCCTGTGACGTGTATGACTGTGCAGCAGCAGGAGTTGAGAAAGAATAAGCTGTTATTTTGTTATTTTTTTCTTGCTTTACAGCCGTTACTTTGACTCTGACTGCTTTACACTGCTTCATTCCTTTCTCATTAACTTGTTATCTGGTTTTACATTTAACATGAAAATTTACTAATACATTTTAAAATAGAGGTTGATACTGATGCTTTTCTTTTGTTTAAAGAAAGATATTGTCATACTCTGAAAAAAGCTTATTAACCCATATTTGAATATATAAATTTTCAGCCAAAGTCAGTGCCCAACGCCACTCAAAAGGGAAATTAAAGTGTGTGTGTGTGTGTGTGTGTGTGTGGTGGATCTGTTTTTGGGTGTATTGTGATATATGAGAGTGATGGAAAACAAGAACATGAAAGTCCTGCTTAAAGATATTTAAGCCACATGTGTCCTAAAGGTATGTGTAAACCAGGAATTAAATGATAAAGTTTAGGCGCTACTCTTGGAAGGGCCTCTGAACTTCCTCCCCTCAAGTCCTTTTACAACTTAGGTACCTGCTCTTGGAAAGCATACTGACAATTCCTAGAAAGGAAGATTTTATGAGAGATTCAAATTATTTTTAAATTGCACATAAACAGCACTCTGGGATATTGATTTTCTACTTTATGTATTTGTTGGTATTCTCATAATAACTCCAAACCATCCAAACGATACTAACTTGTGCTTTGAGAACTCTCGAAAGGGAGTTAAGTAAAATCTCTTCCACTAGGTCAAAGATTTCAAAGTGCAGCCCTTCCTGAAAGGCCTGTTATTGTTGTTGTTATTATTATTATATTATTATTTTATATTTGAAAACCCAGATGTACTTTTAAAAGATCATGCCTACAGTAAGTAAAGCATGTAGTCATGGAACATTGAAATAAAGTTGAGGCACACTGCGAAAGTTCTAGAGAGAGCAACGCAGTTCTTTTTGGTTTGTTTTGTTTGTAACGTAGGAGGAAAATGAAACAGGTATTAAAATTACTTTTCAGGCGATGGTTTCTGTCAGTCAAAGCAGTTAACACTGTCTCCTTTCTTCCTGATCCAAAGCAGCCTTCTTTTTTCATTGGCTTCCAGGATGTGTTCAGTCTTCCGCGGTGTAGAGGCAACACATTAGGGCCAGTACTGAGATGGCTGGGATCACCCAGTTGGTCCACCTGCTGGGATTAGAGTCAACTATAGTAATAAGAGTTTCTGAAGGCTTGGTTTTCTTTGAGCTGTCATCTGGATGCAGCTCCCCAATGATACATGTTTTGGACAATCCTTTAGCATCCCTAGAGTGCTCCATAGCCTCAAAGTTTTCAGTAGAGTCACCTCCAGCTTGTTTTTTTTTTTTTTTTATATAGCATTATTGATTTCTGAGAGCGGAAAGGAGAGGGAGAGAGAGATAGAAACATCAATGATGACAGAGTCATTGATCGAGCCTGCAACCCGGGCATGTGCACTGACCGGGAATCGAACCCCGATCGCCTGGATCCCAGGTCGATGCTCAACCGCTGAGCCACGCCTGGCCGGGCATCCAACTTGTTCCCATAAGGATGCTCCTCCAAAAATCTGGTCAAATCGTATACCTTGCCTTGCAGGATCAGCCAGGTACTCTTGCTGTGGTTGTGCTTCTGGAGCTCTTCCATGGTGTAGTACTTGATGGCTTTGTCCAACCACTGGGCCACTTTGGAATGCAGTGAGCTTCGGGCCCTGCAGACACCAGCCCAGCCATGGGAGCACAGCGAGTCTCAATGAGCTAGGGCCTGGACACTCCCCTCATCTGGCCCTGAGCCTCGGGTTGGGTGACTGGTGCCACAGAGGGTAAAGGTCCTTTAACTATGGACCATTTTTCGCATATAGTTATAATATAACATGATATACTGATGTAAGGGATAAACAAGGATTCAGGAGACCTTGGTTCCTGCCAAAGCTTCTAATGAACATGTGTTTATGGGAACATTGCCTATGCATTCTTACAAGTAAGTGAAGGGAGTTGGTCAAGGACTCTTAAAGCTCTATAATTGTAAAGTGTTGTTCCACTGAACTCCACTGAACTGCTGACTCAACCCCTCCATGGAAGATCTAAAAGACACTCAAGCTTACTTTGTCCAAAACAACCACCTAAAGACTGCCCCACTCCCACCCTTCCCAGCTCAGTAAATACAAATTACACCTTCTAATTGCTCAAGTTAAGTGCCATAAAGTCATCCTTGACTCCTCTCTTCCTTTCATGTGCCTCATTCAGTCCAGCAGCAAGTCCTGTCGTCTCCACCTTCAACATGTGTCTTGTGTTTCCGTCACCATGACCGTGGCCCACCGAGCCACTTTTGTCTTTACCTGAATTACTGCAGCCACCACCTAAGTGGGCTCCTGCTTCCACCTCTGCTCAATTCCCACACCCCCTGTTTCTTCTCAAAGCCCCTAGAGCGATCCATTTAAAATAGAAGCCACTTCATGTTCTGCTGTAGACTCTGGAGGTGTTCAGTCACTTTGTGTTAAAGTCGAGGTCCCCACGAGGACTGTAAACCTGGCATTTTCCCTGTTCTCCCTCCCTCAGTCTCTCTCTAGTGTTTTCTAAGCTAGCTTCGCTTCCATCCAGGCTCTCAGGACAGCTTTTGCCGGGACAGTTCTGTCACCAGATGTCCACTTGGTTCACTCTCATACTTCCTTTTAGTCTCTTCTGCACAAAAGTCATGAAGACGGGCTTCCCTGATTATCTGTATAACAGAGCAACTTACACCCCCAGCCAATACTCCCTAAAACCTTAATCCTGCTTCATTTTTCTACTTGTCACTTACCACCATGAGGGCAAGGACTCCATCTCCTTTGCTCACTGCTTTATCTCAGGACCTAGGACACATTTAATCGAATGAATGATTGATTGAGTGGAACAATTTCGTATTGATGTTATAACTCTTTAGAACTGTGTATTTTTATAGGTGGGATAAAGAAATGAACGAACCTCTCCTTTTCATTTAAAACAGTTGGAAGTAGCACATTTCTTTGGTGGTTGAGGAAACAAAATCAGAGAATATTTCTTATGTCCTCTATGGTGCTATAGTTCATTTGCAGAAAACTAACAAGTTTCTTAGTGTTCAAAATGTACAACTTGGTTTTATGTTGCTTTTTGACAAATATAAGTGAAGGCTGCTTAATTGTCTGATAATTTTTATCTTTTGTCAGGTTACCCTTTTTCCCAAATGTACTGTTATTACACAAACAAAACAATTATATATGTAAAGTATAATGCATTTAATTATCATAACTTTTCTTTTACTTGAAAGCACAATTCAGTGCTAATGAAGAAGGAAGCATTTCTAGGCCAAGACGAGCTGGCCTAGTTTGATTTTCCTTTTTAAGTTAGTGTGTGGCCCTAGAGACATTTCATGCCCTTACCAAGCCAAGGCCCTTATCTTTAAAATAGGTGTAATAATAGGTGTAATAATGCCACTCTTTCCTGCCTGACTGGGTTGTTAAGGTTAATAAGATAATAACTGTTTAGAACTTTGAAGTCCTTGGGAGGAAGGTGTTATTAATATGAGAAAAGGAGTCCTGCATTTTTCTGATATTTATGATTATTTTGGAAAAGTGCCCTATCTAGATATTTTGCCAGAGCTTCCCTGACAGCTCCATGGAAGCATGTTTTTCCTCCCGAGACAATTGTTTTGAGGTACAGCTTCAGGTACTCCACATGTTGGCACAGTTCATCGCTAAGATCTACCAGCTTGACATGTGTGCTCTGCGCAGTAACTATTAAAAGGAAACAAAGTATAGCCTGAAACATTGCTGGCACCTGTATGGAAGATCCACATTTGCCAAACTCCAATTTTCTATTATAGTAATTTGAAACTCTTTAGAAGTACCTTTCCAAGGTAAACTTGGTTTCTTAAGAAGTTTTTTTCCATCTTCTGTATGATGTCTTTTAGTCAAGATAATGTCTGAGGAGGGATATCTCTAAGAATCGGAGAGGATTTCCCCTTCTCTCTCTCTCTCTCTTTTTAATCATTTCATTTTTCAGCCTGGAGCCCAGATTTGACTAATCGATTTTCCTGTTCTATTTAAGGATTGTTTTTATTAATGCACTTTTCAAGCCGAGACACAGCATTATCGCCTTCTCGATCATTGTACTAAGTGTTGAGATCTGAGCAGGCCAGCTGTAGCAGCTGTGTTTCCCTTTGGATCTCAAGCTAAAAACTTTCATCTCCTTTGCTGTCTCAGCTGCTGGGCTGAGGCTATGGCCTTCCCATAACTCAAACCAGTTTCAAAGCAACGTAAGTAACCTCTTTGGAATGCTTTTGGAAAACCACAGAAAGGTTCTTTAAAAGTACACCACTTATATACTTTAAATGAATGTTTCCATTTTAAGGTAATAACAGCATAATGTCAGGAGTCAATGCATGGTATTTAACTACACTATGAACATAGTGTGGGCTTGTCTAGATAGACCCTTTAAAAAAAAAAAAGAAAGAAAAAAAGAAAGAAACAGCAAAGTCGAGGATTGGAATCTTTAAAATGATCTCATAGTTGTGGAATCTATGCATCAAATTCTGTTTATAAAGTAACATTTTCTATAGGCCTGAAGATTTTTTTCTAATCTAAAAGATCATGTGAAAAGATGCCTTTATCAAAATGAAAATGGTATCGATTACTTTCACCGGGGAGGGAAACGGTTCAGACTGGACTTTGGTTTACTTCGGGGTGGGCAGGAACAACTTTGCATGCCTTTTCCTAACTGTTATAGTAACTCATCAATGCAATAAAATGTGACTGATGAGTTATAAGATTAAAGGTCATTTTAGTGAAATTTGACATGTCTGTACCTCCAAGTCTGGACAAGAAGAAAAGCTTTTAGTTTTCGTGTTTGTCTAGACTTCCTTCATGGAGGCAATTGTCACTCCAGACCTCATTTGTTCTGACTTTGTGGTGACTTCACTAAAGAAGGGCTCTCGATGCTGCTTGTTTGTAATTACAAAGGAGATTACAAATTAGATTTTACATTTATATCTTTTTTTACCGTCTCCCCAGTGTTTAGTGGCAGGAAGAAGCCTCATCCTAGGGCGTTGGTAGAAGAAAAGAAATCTTTGAGGCTAATTTAAATGCCTAGCTGATGTTATATAAAAAAGTAAGCCAGATTCCACTATTTCAGTCTCCAAGGGCCAACTTTACAAACCGGCCAAGGGGAGCGCACTACCACAGCCCAGGAAAAATAATTTACTCGCCTTAGCAATTCTGAGCACATTGTTTTTCTTAGTGATTTACTGCACGGATTTTAAAGCTTTTCTTCTTAATCACTTGTATTACCTTATCTGGAAAGGGAGCTTATTGCAGTCTCCCGGAGCGACTGCCTGCGCTACCGGGGATTAGAACATGTGGACATGCTATCACTTTCCCCTCGGGAGGCTCCCAGGCATTGTGGGCATTATGTGTAGCTTCCAGTGACCTGTTCTTGAACCTGTGCCATTCAACGCCAGCATTTGTTTGTGTAGTATTTAGAGTGGCCTTTAAAAATATTCTGTATGCATGAAAGAAGTTGCTATCATGTAGTCAATTCTTTTCCAAGAAACACGTTTTTCTTCAGAAATATGTGTGTGTGTATGTGTATATATATATACGTATATATGTGTGTATATATATATATATACACACTCACATATGTATATTTGCATATGTACCTACACTTGCACATGTATATTACACACACTGAAGGATATGTACATAAAGGACAATGGAAATATAATGTAAGGTACAAATATGAGCCACATGTAACTTTAAATTTTATAGCAGCCACATTTAAAAAGAGAGAGAGAGAAAAAGGTGAAATGAATCTCAATAATATATTTTATTTATGCCAATATCCGAAACAGTAGCATTTTAAGCTGTGATTAATATAAAGGTTATTAATGAGATCTACGTATTTTTTCCATACGAAGTCTTCAAAATCCGTGTGAATTTTTTACTTACAGCACATCTTAATTTGTAGCAGTTAATTAGTTTGCATGTTTAGAGGCTACCTTTGAGACAGTGCAAGTGTGCATATATACTACAAAACTATTTTGAAATAAGTCCTTAGATAGGGCCTTAGAATTCTAACCAAATCAAATTTTGACCTATTTTTGTGTGTGTGTTCAACTCCTTCCAAGTATAGCTTACATTTAATCAAGTATTCTTTTATTTTAACAGAATTACTTTAGATGTAGACGTATCTTTTGAAATAGCATTGAGGAAGAGATTAGCCAAAGAACATTTACGCATATATGCAGAGCCCATGGACAAAGACAACTATGTGGGGAAGGCAAGGCGGGGGCAGGTTAGCAGAGTGGAGGTGAGCAAAGGGCGGGAACATAGGGGATAGCTGTAAAAGTGTCAACAATTATAAAACAGGTAACACACACCCTTATTTGGTGGTACACTTAACCCTGCACCCTCCGTTTTCCAGACACTGGTTTGGAGGAATTTTAAGGCATTGCCCATACCCAGGTGGAAGCTGGATTCATTAATCATTAAACCATGAGACCATCCTAACTTCCATATTGCTCGCTGAGTATAAGCTTTCTGGAACTAATTCAAAATACATGGAAAAGCTTGCATTTAAAGTGTTTTAAATGTGAGAGTCTGATTTTAAACTCATGTTTTGTGATACTTATACTGAGAACTGTGATACAAGACAGGCGGCTTTTCAGGTGAGATAAAAGACCAGAGAGGACACTCTTGCCCCAGCACAAGGTTCCCCTGACCCCTCTAAACGATTTGCCCTTTGCTCATAAATCTTTCGTCATGGTCAACACAAAGCCTGGTATTGATTTGCCAGTGAACTATCTTGTCATCTCTGGGCTTGGGTCCTTTGACCTTTTATTTGTTCCTGTAAAATTATGGTGTATCACAAACTTCTTTTCTAATAGGTCCTTTAAACTTGAAAGGCCAAGAGGTTCTGTGGGAATACATTAAACAGTTGGGTAATCCAGAAAAAGGAAGTGAAATAAAAAATTGCAAACAGCTAAAGGTCAAAAAATCCTTATTAAGTCCAAAAATCTCTTAGGAGGAAAGGACTTAGTTCGAGCCTAGCTAAATTCACTTTAACTTTCTTAGTAAAGTGTCAGATACGCATTTCCTTCTTAGTAGCTGAAAGGGGGACAAGATGAACTTTAAAATGTGACTCCTTCTAACTAGTGGAAAGGGAACACAATCACAGCAATTTAAACAAGCACAATGCACCTCAGTGGAATGATCACAGCTTCTTTCTCAAAATACTGGTATTAGCCTAAAGAGATTTCTGTGGAGCTCGTACAGGCTTCTCGGTGCTATTTGTCACACACAACTCTACATACTCTGGTTTATAGATAAGCGAAAGATAGTTTAATGAAATAAATGTGGAATCAGGATTTCAATTTTCATTGCATATATTTCAAATCCTTTCATTCAGTTTATTGAGAGTGTAATTTATTATACTGGCTACCACCTGATAATTACTCTGCTATTTATTTTATTCCCTCCAAAGAGATTCCTCTTGAACTTTAGTTTCTGAAATTACTTTTTGCTACAGATCTGTCTATAAAAACGAATGAAAGCTAGCCTTCATTTTATATTGTGTCATTTGTTTCCAGATCACGACATAGTTTTATTAAAACTTTTGGAGAAATGTATTATTATTGAAAAAAATGCTTTCTTTCTGAGACATTTCTGTAGTATCTGCTTGTC